GTAAATGCCTAGTCGACAGCATTGTCGTATTCTCCGCCTTGCGCATTCATGTCGGCGCCCTTGCCGAGGAGTAGCTGTACTACCTTCTCGTGTCCTCCAGAGGAAGCCGCCTGTAGGGCACTACCGTGGAATCCGCCTTGCGTATTTATGTCGGCGCCCTTATCGAGGAGTAGCTGTACTACCTTCTCGTGTCCTTCAGAGGAAGCCGCCTGTAGGGCACTACCGTATTCTCCGCCTTGCGCATTCACGTCGACGCCCTTGTCGAGGAGTAGCTGTACTACCTTCTCGTGTCCTCCAGAGGAAGCCGCCTGTAGGGCACTACCGTGGAATCCGCCTTGCGTATTTATGTCGGCGCCCTTATCGAGGAGTAGCTGTACTACCTCCTCGTGTCCTCTAGAGGAAGCCGCCTGTAGGGCACTACCGTATTCTCCGCCTTGCGCATTCACGTCGACGCCCTTGTCGAGGAGTAGCTGTACTACCTTCTCGTGTCCTTTAGAGGAAGCCGCCTGTAGGGCACTACCGTGGAATCCGCCTTGTGCATTTATGTCGGCGCCCTTATCGAGGAGTAGCTGTACTACCTTCTCGTGTCCTTCAGAGGAAGCCACCTGTAGGGCACTACCGTATAATCCGCCTTGCGCGTTTATATCGGCGCCCTTATCGAGGAGTAGCTGTAATACCTTCTCGTGTCCTTCAGAGGAAGCCACCTGTAGGGCACTACCGTGGAATCCGCCTTGTGCATTTATGTCGGCGCCCTTATCGAGGAGTAGCTGTACTACCTTCTCGTGTCCTCCAGAGGAAGCCGCCTGTAGGGCACTACCGTGGAATCCGCCTTGCGTATTTATGTCGGCGCCCTTGTCGAGGAGTAGCTGTGCAGCATAAAGCAGGCCAACGAACGATGCGTAATAGAGAGCAGGGACCGCCCGGTAAGAATGGTCAGGCGGCTGCCAGGGTTGGTCTGGTTTATATAATCCATACCCGAGTTCGTAAGCTACCCCAGAAGAAAGGTACTCGTCAATTTCTTGAGAGACCTCTTTACGGGACGCTTCGACCATCGCTGCATATCCTGACCAGTACCGCGCAGAGAACCTTGCAAATGGTTGACTTGCGTTCTCCTCTACCGTATCATTGGATAAAGTTAAATCGATCAAGTAAGAAAGACACACTTTCACGATAGCTTCTCCCGCATTGATGTAGTTAAGATCCGTCGCTATGGATGTTTCAAGGCGGTTGGACGCAAGGTATTCTTGAACTGAGAAGTGCGCGAGTTGTATCTCAGTGATCATCTCTCCGCTATCTATGTCTTGTCTTCTGACAAGTATGACAAGACTAGAGCAGTACTGTGCTACTTCGTCAGGGATAGGCATTCGATAGCGAGGATGGAATCGGGGTTTGTGGGTAAGCTTGACCGCAACCGCATCGACAGCCTCTTCCACGCTGAGTGGCCGTTCCGAGTAGGTGAGGAACTGCAAAAGTCGTATTGCGTGGTGCATATGCTCTGTCCGAATGTTCTTTAGTATCCTCGCATACGTCGCGTCTAATGTTCGTGGAAGATTGACGAGCTCCGTCTCTACGGATAAAGGGTCTACGCATTCCCTGAGAATGTCTACCTGGCAAGATACCCAGCGGAACCTATTTCGTTAGCATCTGACTAAGTCTAGACGTTTGCACGGTTTCTTACATTCCATTGGCCTTCCGAATCAGGGTAGTCTCCATCAAATGCTGAATATCCGGTCGATTCTGCCACCGGGTCATTTCCCCTATGTGCGCCTTGATGTAGGAATTGATGTCATCTGACACAATGTCACTCTGTAGGGCAATAACCTCGCTAGCTCGGGCAAATTTCTCGATGGCCACCTGGATGTCTTGTTCCGGCCGACTCGTCACCAGGAGGTGCACGTCCGAGTCGACATTACGAAGATTCCGGATCCAGGGGAGTAGTCCGCCCGCGAACCCGCCAATCCGCTCGCGACACTCGTCTAATGCGTCGAGCACTATCCAGATCTCACCAGCCTGCTGAAACATGCTCTGGAGGAGTTGGAGAAGTGATGCACTATCTGGTTGGCGACCTCCATCGTGACAGGAAGAATAGAGAGCATCTACGTCCTTCCGTAGGTCCGTCTGGCTGTTATAAAGCTGGGTAATAAGCGACCGGACCGCTTTCTCAGTCGACTGCTTCGCGACGTCGTTGAAGTCAAAGTAGAAGTATACTAGATTCGGAGAGGTGGCGCCTTGTTTCAACTCGGCTACGACGGACGAGCTGAGGACGGTCTTACCGCAGCCCGGGATGCCGTTGAGCCACAGGAAGGAGTTGCGATCCTTCTTCCACTTCGTAAACGCGTCGCTATGGAGAAACCGCTGGCCGGTTCCGGTATGGTGCTGCTCTCGTGCGTTGTTGAAGTTGGTGGACGGATCAGGCGGTGTGAGCCATCTTCGGATCTTGTCGAGTTGGTCGCTGGCGTGTAATGCTTGAGCTGTCGCACGCGTGTCTTTCACTGTTGCGTGTATACCGTCCACTGCTTTGTATGTAGTTTCGACTGTCTGATAGATTGCATTGACTATGAATCTCGTTAATTAAGTACATGTACAGAAATAACTCAATGGCCAACAATGCAAGGCGTAGTGACTAACCCTTGGTCATCATCTCCCTCATCGGCTGCGTGCCCTCTATGTCTTCGCTGGGTATCTTACGGAGTACAGCCTTGCAGTATGCTGCCGCAGCGGCCGCCGCGTAGTAGTGCCACCCGTCGTGCTTGTGTGTATCGGCATAATCACAAATCCCACGGATCACTAGGCACGGAAGCTCGTCCATGATGCCCGCCGCTTCCATCTCGAAGCATATAGCACTTTCGTAACCCCGACGAAGCCGTTTGCGGTCGTCAGGATTCTTGATGACGCCGCCGCCCGATAAGATAAGTCCTCGGTGCGTGACAGGCTGGTCTGGCGAAAGGCGCGGCTGGCGAGGCACTACTTTCTTATTATCCGAAGTCCGACAAGCAGAACAGTCGAAGCCTGTCTGTACGTGTAGGAATGTGTCATCGAATAGGATGTCCTCACTCTCAGGCCGTTTGAACTTGTCGTTTTGCTCAATGATGCGTCGCAGTATCTTTCTGGATGGGAATTTTCTCCGGAGCTCGTCACCCTCTAGCGAGCGGATGGCACCCATCAAGATCCTAGGCGGCTTGCTTAAGGTGCCTTTCAGCGTAAAGGCGCTATCCTCATACTTCCCGAGGTCGTACTGGACCACGCCGGGGTGATTGTCGCGAGGAGTACCAATGGCAATATCGCCGAGGCGGATGTCGAGCTGGTCACTAGGGATTCCCGCGCCAATACCGACCATCAAGGCGAGGCGAACGTTGGGAAATTGCTGACTGACATGTGCCGCGCACTGCGCTGCATTAACTGGCCCCATCTCCACCGGTTCGGCGATGACAACCTTGTGCTCGGCGATGCTGCCAAATGTGTAGACATAGCTTTGCTTGCCGGTAGCTTTGCATGCGAATTCTGCATCTAGCGTGTATCTGACAGCCGTGGACTCTTCCACGAGAGCGCAGAAAATCGCCACTGTGATATCTTCGGGGCGAATTGGTTGGAGCGTTTCCTCGTCAGATTCATCCATGTCCCCGTGCGGAACGTGCTTGCCGGACGGAGCCATAGTGCATAGCAATCCGCGAGGGGTTTGAAGATAACAAGAGGGCTAAAGAATGCTCAAGAACTTTTTGTCAGCAAAGAAAGTGACTAGAACAATAATACTGCAGCGTTGTTTCGTCGGTACTGGATGTAGCAGGAGGTCGTGGGAGGCCTGGCTGCACTCCAGCTCCACAGCTCCGTATGTAGGACAATTCGTAGTTGGGCAACTATTACCAGACAGCTGTCCTGGGCGCTAACGAGGGGTTACCCGAGGAGCTGCCCGAGGGGCTGACAGGCAGATTCCCTGTTGCTGCAGGGCTTGCATGGTGGATGCCACTTGGTCGAGCTAGGCGAGGCTATGTACCTGCAAAAAAATTCACGCATTTGTACCGAAGATCTGCACTCAATGCGTGAAATATTTTGCAGGCAGCCTCGCTAGGTTGACCAGTGCTCAATGGTGTCAGATTTGGGTGGAGCTAGAATGGCGGGCAACGGTTCGTACCGCGGCACCTAGCCGTGATGGATCCACACATGGATGGCGCAGCCAACGCTCCACATTGACGGTTCTGATTTATCGAGTTCTTGGGGTTCTGAGAGCCTGATATGACTGCACCTGATGCACAGACAAGGCGCACTACACCCTTGAGTCTCAGCAGCATCGGGCATGATTGGCTGATGATTTCGCCAAGAGGGCTGCCCCAGCGCCACATTTACGCAACATGTCGGCAAGGTTGCAGCGCTTAAGCAGAATCATTAGAGGACAGCAGTTTGGTCTAAGCGGCATTGCGTGCCTGGTCTGCAGGCCGAAGTTGATTCTTGTCGAGATAGATAAGAAAAAGGATCCAGACAGCGATGCATTTCCCGCGTGACTTTCATCTTAGCTAGTAGCTCCGTGACACGCAGCCTGCTGTAACAGTGCCTCACTGGGTTTACTTGTATAATGGTACAGCGTAGTAATGGCTGCCCAGTTGCCCCATCGTAAGGGTAGAGCCCTGTAACCACTCTGCCAATGACCTCAAAAGATCTAGCAATACACCGCACGATGTATTTAGGGCCTTACACCCATGCGGCAGACAGAGTCGGGCGCGTTTTGCTGCCGAGGCCAGGCTGTGACTGAGTGCGCGCACCCGGTCCGGGACAGTGCCGAGACGGTCCCGCACCGTTGCCTCCACACAGTCGTACACTGAGTAAATTGGGGAACATCGAGAATTGATACGTAACTTCAGGTAAATGTGTAACAACCCCAAATATATGGAAATACACCGAGTCGAAAAGAAAGAACGGGGAACAAAAAGAAAAAGGGCAGTTAATTCGACTTCGCTGCTCTGATCATCAAAAAGAAATGTATAATACCAGTATTAAGCTGCTTCAGATGGACTTGCAGGGAATCGAACCCTGGACCACTCCCAATCAGCGGTTGAAAGTCAACTCATGATGCTAAGGGAGTATTATACCACTAAACCACAAGCCCTGTGATTGGATGAAATTGTGAGGGCTTATCATCATACACATACACTGTGAGGCTTGGTTCAACCGTTGTCGGTTCTCCGATTCTGCAATTTCAAGTCTAGAGTCATGTTCTATATAATACACGGAGTTGTGGAAGAAGAGATAGGTCTAGCAATGCAAGGCTTCGAGGGTAACATGGGGAATCAACCAGATGACGTGGAACAAGCATAGCTCGTGAACATAACAGGGAAACTTTTCATGTTTCCTTGTCCTGCGGTCAAAGACAACTGGTTGTGCAATGGGCTTTGGCGGGGTGGCGGACTCTCAGTAGAATCCGACCGTACAATGATGGGTTTCCAACATCTCGTACATATGGAAGCAATCTGAAATCACGGATTGAAACACAGCACCAAAATTATATGAGCTTCTTCAAAAATGGGAAGCCTGACGTGATTAACTGGGAAATATGGGTTGCGAACCGCCCCACAACGACAACCTAACTAAACCAAGACCCCTGAATTATTTTTGCCAATCCCTTTTAGTTATCCCCGAAAACGCCCCATCTTTCAAATCATCCCGGATCTCAACTAATTGTCTGTACCTGTGCCTTGCCTCATCAGCCTCGGCGACAAGCCTGTCGACCTCGCCGCCGGCACCTGCCCACGTCTTGCCCGGCAGGAGCTTGCCGCCCGCAGCCATCTGGTCGAGGCCGAACTTGTAGAAGCCCTCGATGACCGTGTGCGGGCCGGAGGGCAGGGGGTACTGCGCGGTGGGCTCGCCCTTGACAACGTAGGGGACGAAGCTGGGCATGTCGTCGGCAATGCCGCCCTCGTCCTCGCCGGGGAGCAAGGGCTGTAGCCACGCCCAGTCGGCGCCACCGGCGCCCTCGGCAGTGATGGCCGGGATGGGCGCCTCGTGCCGCGCTTGGTCCAGTGGTGGGCGGTTCCAGATCGAGGAGGCGCCGTCGGCTCCGTCGTCGTCGATGCCCTCGAGGTTGTCGCGCATGAGCAAGGGCCCGCCGCGGAACACCATGCGCAGGCGCTCGAGGGTGCGCAAGACGATCCACGGGGCCAGCCGGAGCGAAGTCGGCGGCAGGACGCCCGTCGCAATGCTCACGGGCTGAAAGGGGTTGATGATGGCGCCCAAGACAACGGCGCTTGCGTGGTTGTGTACCGCGCGCATGTAGGCCGGGGCGTCGTGCAGGTGCTCTGCAGGTCCGACATGGTATGGGGAGATGTAGATGGGGCTGTACGTAGGCGAGGCAAAGGTGTCTGGCTTGGCGGTGCCGTCGAGAATGTTCCGCCCAGCAAAGTGGCTCGCACTCATGTTGAAAGCGACCGACCTGACGTTCGGCAGCAGCGAGGAGACGGCCAAGTCCCCAGCCCACAATGCCATCTGGTACCTTCCAACCAGCGGCCAGACACTCGCAATCCGCCTCGAGGGCCGCGTCGGCCTCCGTAGCGATATTGGACAGATGGTCAGCAAGTATCTCGACTCGGATTGGATCTCGAAGACGCCGCACCTGAGCGTCGTGGCTAAGCGCACGGCCGCGCTCAACCAGCCTGCAGGCGGCATGGGCGGCGGTGCGAGAGGCACCTTGGCCGTTGACCTGACCACGGAGGTCGTGCTTGGTGTGGAGCTTGACATTGGTGCTCCCAGGTCCTTCGGGATCTACGTCGCGATTCTCGAGGAGTACGTGACGCTCATGCTCGTCTGCTACTCACGCGAGCTGACCTGGTCGGCCCTCAAGACGTGGCTGCTCAAGAACTGCCAGGGCATTTCCAGCGCCGTCGGCCAGCTCCAGGACAACCTGGAAAAGATCTCCGGAGCTCCCGGCGTGGCGCCCGAGAAAAAGCCGCAGCCATCTGCCGCAATACCTGATGCGGGCAGTAAGCCGGACAGCCTGAGCGGTATCTACTGGCGCAAGGTCAGCGCGAGCATCTCCGAGAGCGGCATCCAGGCCGTGCACATTGAACTCGAGGCGAGCGTGCCGTTTCTCGTGGCCAGGGGCAAGCACGCCGGGTTCAGCATGTCTTTCTCGTGGAGGCCCGGCCAGTGCGAATTTGAGTGCGAGTTCATGGGTGACGGGGTCGCCCGGCCGGACCTGTCCGGCGCAGCCGAGGCCGAGGACGCCGCCCTCGTGGTGCCGCCCCAGTACAAGGCCGATTATGAGCGCTGGACGTACCTGGAGCCCCTGGTGCTCTCGGAGCCGTTCATGTCCCTGAGGTACCTAAAGAGCCGGGATAGCCCCTTGACGAATGATGAGATCCCGTACGGCGTGCCGACAGAGATAGCGCAGGTCGCGCTAGCTGTTTCAAACACGGGCCTGTCCTTCTCCGGCAAGCTGCAGTCGCTCCTTGGTGCCGAGGAGGCAGCGGCCGAGGGGGGAAACGGCGGCGGCGGCGGCGGCGGCGGCGTGCCGGTCCTTGGGCTGGCGTACGTGGACCTAGACTTCGCCCTGGCAGTCGACTACTCGTCTAAACCGACTAACATCATGGGCTGGCTGGAAGGCGTTGTCGCGCTGGAGCCGCGTCCGGACCCCGTGACGGGTAGGGTGCGCATGCCCGCGGAGCTCCGGGCTAAGATCGAGTACGGCACTATGGCGCCCGGGTCGTGGAACTTTGAGGCGAGCGTGGCCAGGATCCCGCTGACGAGCCTGTACTCGCTCTTCGCGCGCGGGTCCGAGCAGGACGCCGCCATGGCCATGCTGAGCAACATCACGCTCGAGAGGATGACGATTGGGTACACGTACTCGGGCGCGGCGGCGTCGAGCGTCCGCTTCAGCGCGAGCGCCACGGTCGGCGGTCTCGCCGTGGACACGCGGTTCCTCCGCATCGGTCCGGGCCAATGGCTCTTTGGTGCGCAGCTGGCTCCGCGCATCGCCGAGAATAGCAGCAGTGTCGAAGTTGTCGGCGTGCCGGCCGGCATGAAAAAGGTCACACTCTTCGATGCAACCCGCGACCTGCTCGGCGCGGACGTGGCCGAACTCCTTCCTGACTTCATCCAGGACACCGAGCTGCTCATTAGTACTGCCTCGGGCGGCCGGGACAAGTTGAGCATCGAGTGCCGGCGCGTCGAGGGCAAGCCGAACGACAAGCTCGTGTTTGGAGCCACGCTGAGCTTTGGCACGCTGCGCGTGCACTTCGGGCAGATTACAACGCTCCTAAGCAAGGCCGACGATGAAGCCGCCGTCAAGAAGGCCAAGGAAGGACCGCTGCCTGGTACCTCGGGTAAGGCAGCTGGCGATAAGCCGCTGCAGTCTAAAGTCAAACGTCTCATCCGGGTCACCCTCGGGCCGCTCCCGACTATGCAGAGTCTTCCACTGGTTGGAAGCCTCGAGTTACCATGCGACACGCTCGAGTTTATGTGGCTCGGCGCCGACTTGTCTAGCGCGGATCTCTCGACGATCAGCGGCGTCTTGGACTCCGGCGTGGACGGGAGCCCCGTCAGCATCGCTGTCGCGAGCGGGGAGGAGTTATTAGCGCAGGGCTACTACTTCCGGCTCCTCGGGAAAGATAATTCTGTTGTAGTCAGCTATCCCTTTGGCCATACACCGAAGCCAAAAGCCAAAGGCGCCACAGGTGATGGCAAGGTTGACACTGGAGTCCAAAAGGTCGCGGCAGAGCCGTCAAAACTACTGCCACCCCAGGCTCCCACGGCGGTAGCAGAGATCAAGACGGCCGAGCGGAAATCTACAGAGGTGGCCACGATGGCCCCAATAAAAAAACAAAAGGGGAGCGTGAAGCTCTCGGGAGTTGGCCTAACATTCGAAGGCGGCGTGCTGCGCATCCATCTCGATGCCCGGGTACTCGTCGGGCCCATCGGCGCGGGCGTCAATGGCCTGCAAATAAATCTCAACTTGAACAAGGTCAAGGGGCTGCACAACCTCCTTGACGTCGGCTTGAGTGTAGACATCCAGGGGTTCGAAATGTCGTTCGACCGCAGCCCAATACTACTTTCTGGTGCGCTCGAGCACGAGAAGACGGCGTCTGCCAACCGCTTCAGCGGAGGGATTGCCATCTCAGTCAAGGCCATTTCGATCAATGCGTTGGGCATGTACGAACAGGTCTATGCACAGCCGCCGCTGCCTGCTTACGACTCGTTCTTCGTCTATGGCATGGTGGAGGGCACACTTTTCACAGTGGGCTGGGCCGAGGTTCGTGGTATCATTGCTGGCTTTGGCTACAATTCACGGCTACGCCTACCGCCTGTTGACCAGCTCATGTCGTTCCCGCTCGTTTCCGGGTTTGATGACGGCGGCGGAGTTTCGATCCTCTCGGCACTCGATCGACTCACTGGCAAGGGCGGGCCGGATGCTTGGATCTCACCAAGCATGGGCTCGTTGTGGTTCGCTGCCGGCCTGGTGATCCGGGCATGCCAGACTCTGGACATCCGCGCGGTCGCCACACTGGCCCTCGGTCCTAACCAGAAAGAAATTGGGCTTCTTGCCCGGGCGACGGCGTGCCTACCTAGAGGCAGCACACCCGAAAAGGCGCTCATGCTCATCGACCTATCGATTCTGGGAAAGCTCGACCTTGTGCGTGGCGAGCTGGCTGTCGACGGTCTCATCAACCCAACGTCCTTCATCTTGTCTAAGGACTGCCGACCCTCTGGAGGCTTTGCCATCCGAACGTGGTTCCACGGCGAGCAGAAAAATCCCTACGCCGGCGACTGGGTCGTGACGTTTGGCGGTTATCACCCTTCCTTCCGTGCGCCAGCGCACTACCCGAACCCAGGACGCTTGCGAATCAACTGGGCCATCAGCTCGTGTTTGCGAGTGACGGGTGAGGCATATGCAGCTATCACGCCGGGTGCGGTGATGGCAGGTGCACGGCTCTCGGCTGTTTTCAGTAAGGGTGCCTTGCAGGCGTACTTTGACGCCCACGCCGACTTCCTAGTCAACATGGCGCCCCTACACTACGAAGCCACGGTGGCGGTACGCGCAGGCGTATCGTATGAGATCCGCATCTGGAAACTGCGCAAGAAGCTGAGTATCGAGATCGGCGCCCGGCTCGAGCTGGA